CACTGGAAATCAAAGAAATCACTAGAAATCATCAGAAGTCAGTTTATACTATATACAACTGGAAGCAAACTGATTTCTTGATTTCTAATGATCAATTTAATTCTTGGTTGTTTCTAGTGGTCTATACAAGGGAGAAAGCGCGAAATCCTGAATTCCACGGTTTCTCTATGAATTTTTCGAATTCCAAGAATTGTCTAGTATTCCTTAGGATTGCCTAGAATTCTACCCGAACATGCTAGATGTAACATTACAGATGCTGTAAAAAATAACACGGACGCTAGAAGCATCACCTGGGATGCTAGGAACATAATCTGGGATCCAAAAGGCATCACCTGGAATGCTGGAGGAAGCACTTGACATGGTACATGATGCATACCAACATGGCGCGTGAAATGCGGCAGGTAGCATTTCCAAGTAGCCCCTAAAAAGGTTTAGGTAGCATGTTTACCTAGCGTCCCACCACTTACATTGAGTACATGCATCAGAATTAAAAATAATGCTTACTTAATGCAACACGTAGGCATTAATTAATTTTAATGCCATTGATGCTAATGCATTAGGCTTAATGACGAATACTGATGCAATAGCAAGAGCATTAGCATTATTTTATGCTGATGCAAAAGGAAAAGCATTATGATTTTGTTATGGTAATGCTGATTCTAATGGGACACTCCTAATTCCATTCGGTTGTGGTCATTGATATATGTATATATTGATGACTCGCTTTTGTATTTGCTGAGGCGTAGTTCATAGGATCGCATTAGTTCCACTAGAAGCGTTGCGATCAAGCCGACTTCCTGATTTTCATTTATCTATCAATAAATTCAGATCGATCTATCTTATCAAATATCTAATGATCATCTAATTAGTATTTCAACGCATAACAATGTTCGAATCATTTTTTATTCAATTTTACTTGCTTACAAAACTCTTGATAATGTATTAATTGATAGACTATCATTTTTCTCAGTCAATAGCACCACCGTTGACTGTTTGTGTGAGTACTTCGTGGCTTTATAAATTTTCACTTTAAAGTTTGAGTTTGCTACGTCAGGACTGACATTTATCTTTGATACGTATTCCAGAAAAGAGTATTTTCAAATGGCAAACTTTATTTAAGAATTATGTTCAACATTTTTTCCTTTTACTGTTTTTGTATATATGATATTATTGCCAAGTCGGAGTAACCTTATCGTCAATCCTCTTTCTACTATTGAAATGTTTCTTTTTACTTTTGATATTCAAGCCTTTCTTGTTTTCGTTGTGATCTTTATGAACTATATTCTTTTCTATTGTATGTTTACTGGCTTTAATCTAATATATATATTGAAAGAGATCAATGTGCATGTGCAACTTCAAGATTTGAAAACAAAAGGATTTGAATGAGAAAGCTGCGAAAAGTGTTGCTAGAATGTTCTTTTAATTGCCGATGTATTTTAACAGGTTTTTCGTGATAGCAATACATTCAAGGACTTTTAGACTGAGGACTCCAAGGTTCCATAGGATTACCAAAGATTCTTTGAAATTCCAGGATTTCGCACTTTTCTCTTGGATTTCTATCGCTGAAAATCAGCTTTTATCTGATCTCTATGAATCAACAGGAATCACCGAAAACAATAACAAATGAAAAAAATCAAGAGAAATCGTTAGAAATCAACAGCGATCACTAAGACTATAGGCAATTAATGAAAATCAAGAAAATCAATAAAAATCATTAGAAATCAGTAGAAACCACGGCTTTTCTATTAATCTTATTAGTGGAGATTTTCTAGAATTTAGTGATTTTCATTGATTTCTAATGATCTCTCATGGTTTCTAATGATTTCGGAGGATTTCCGATAATTTTTAACCTCTGCCAGTCATTATTTGTATCCTCAAGGCTGTAAAAGGATTTCCCGCGACTTCTGGTGATTGTCAGTGATTTCTAATGATTTCCAGAATAGAAATCCGTTAGTTCCTCCAGACTTTTTCATAACAATTTTCTAAACGCACAATGACGATATTATTAATTCATGTTTCATACGCTGTGAAAAGATCGTCCGTGTAAAATGAATGCAACTGTGGCGTAGATTATCTTCCGTCAAGGCTGCACTAATCTTATTAATACTGACATTAAGCAATAGGAAACAAACTGATTTCTGTGCTAGAAATCATTAAAAATCACTGGAAATCACTAGAAATCATTTTAACGCGGTAAGTACCCAGGTCGAAACTCAACGACCGTAAACGACAGTTTCCAATGGAACACGGCGTATTTGGTATGTACTGTATTACGGCCGTATTTAGATGCCTCGTAAACTGTTGCATACAGTCGTATACTCATTTTTCCGATGCGGCCCAGGTCAAAGAATCTTACTGTAAGATCCTTGTACGATTTCGTCGGATTTTGGTAAGATTCTTATAAGAACTCGTTGTAACGTGCCCGTAGCATGCGGTGTATGCATGATACTTTCCTCTTCTTACTACTTCTTCTCATCTTATGTATTGTCCTTATCTTTCTGTCATTACTTCGTACATCATGTTGCACTTTGTCCTTCTCTTCCTTTCTTCTGTCTGATGGACGAGTATATAAGCGTATGCTTTGTATGTAAACGATGCGATTCTTGATAGGAAGAAATATAATAAAGCGTAGTTCCATCAGCGCTAACACTTCTTCCATCCAAAAATCGTCACACTCGTAAGATTCTGTAAGAAACATAAAGGCTGATTCTTAATGTAAGATCTCATAGTAAGATTTTATCAAATTTCATAAGATTCTTGTATGATTTTTGTAAGATGAGACAGACTTTATGATCTTATCGTAAGATTTCATAAGATGCATAAGATTTTTGGAAGATTTTATCAAATTGTTTGACCTGGGTTGTGGTGATCGTTATCAATCGTAAACGGTACGGTCATAATACGGCCGTAATACGGTGCATACCAAACGATAAATTACGGCTATTTACGACCGAAAACAGTGAAAAACGATTATATACGATATGGTTTACAGTCATGTTTGGTCATTGTAATGCTCGACCTGGGTATACAAATGATGACTGTAAGTGACTAAAAATCATTAGGAGTCAATAGAAAACATGAGAAATCAATGGAAATCACTAAATCGCAGAAAATATTCAGTAATAAGGTTAATAGTAAAGCCCTGGTTTCTAATGATTTTTCTTGATTCGCTTGATTTTCAATAATTGCCAGCATTCGTAGTCGTAGCTCTTGATTTATTGTGATTCGCGGTGAACAGTCGAAAACTGATATCCAGTGATAGAAACCACTGGTAATCACCAGACATCACGAGAAATCATTAGAAATGAAATAAATAAAGGAATCAGTTCGTGTCCCCTTGAATCAAGGGGACACGAACCGATTTCTTGATTTTCTTTGATTTCTAGTGATTTCTATCACTAGAAATCAGTTCTTTAATGTTTATTGTGAATCAATAGAAATCATTGGAAATGTTTAGAAATGAATGGAAATCATTAGCAATCAAGAGCAACTACTAGGAATATTGACAATTATTCAAAATCAAAAGAATCAAAAGAATCATTAGAAATCAACAGCAATCAAGACTCTATTTTTAATTGTTTTAGTGATGATTTTCTATAATTAAAAGTAATTATTATTGATTTTTAGTGATTTCTCGTGGTTTCTAATGGCTTCTGAGGGTTTCCGATAATTTTTAACAATCCCCAGTCACTACTCGAATAGTTAAGGTTTTAAAGTGATTTCTAGTGATATCTAGCATAGAAAACACTTTCTTCTCCCTCGCCATGAATGACATAAACAAAATTGAAAATCTGATTGCTATCAAAAATCATGAGAAATCACTAGAAATCACTGGAAATCAGTAGAAATCATGGAAATCACCAGAAATCAGAAAATCAAGAAATCAGTTTGTTCCCCCTTGGGGTGTGTGGGTGTCTGTGTGGGCAGTATTACTTCTTCGCCTTCACCCACACCCATACCCCACACTCACTCACACCTACCCACACCCACACCCACCCACACCCTCTTTGGACCAGCGCATTATTCGATCATTTTGATAATCGGCCACATAGACAGTACCTAACTAATCAACAATTACTCCACGAAGGCCAGACAATTGAGCTAGACCATTTCCTTGACCTTGACCACCAGCAACGATAATCCCTTCCGTTGCATCTTTTATCCACTTCATCACACGATGATTATTGCCATCTGATATGTACACTGAATAATCTTGATCGACAAAGATGTAACCAGGACCATTGAGTTGATCAAGACGATTGCCTTGTCCATGGCCACCGGCTACTACTGTTCCATTCGTGTTACCTAATCATCATCGTTGTACTTCATGCTTCTCATAGTCAGAAAAATAAAAATATCCATTGAAATCCTTTGCTAGTCCGTAGGCATCGCACATTGAAGAAGACTATTTGGCCACTTGTGCCATTTCGACGAGGCCATCGCATCAATCTTCTGTTTCCTTGATCGCAGATAATAAGACAATCATTCTCTTTATCAACAACAACATCTGTTGCTTCATTCAACTGATCGATTCGATTTCCTGGCCCATTTCCACCCGCAACAACTTGCCAATTTGTTGCACCATACTTCCATTCGATAATGCGATGATTATAAGTATCAGCGATGTAGATTACTTGTTCGTCGTCATCAATACATATACTCCATGAACAATCAAGTTGATTTAATCCATCCCCTCTTTCATTACCTTCAGCGCCCGTGACACCATTTACAAACCATTTTGTGTTGGCATTAATTTTCATTGTACATGATGATACTACAATGTGATAAATATTTATGATGCTGAAAAGTTTTGCTTTTTTCTTTGCGATCGATTTCGACATAATGGTGAGGAAAAAATATCTTTATTTACAACAAGAATGTTTCATTATACAATGCTTCCATAGTCAAATAACTAATAATGGTATTGCTTTCTTTCTACTCAACTTATACTCGAATTTAAGTATTTTTGATCATCAAAAATTAATTTTTCTGTAAAAGTTCCATTCACTTTATTTGATAAAAAGTGCAACGTAGCTTGATGAATTTTCATAAAAAGAAAACTACTTTAGCTTTAGCATTCGTATTGTTTTCATAATTGTTTCATTCTTTTTTTAAGTTTTGATAAGTTAAAAAACGAATTAAAATGTCGAAAGAGAATAGCTTGATTAATCAAAATAAAATACAGCGAGTTTTCTTGCTTGATCACTTTGCACTATGAAAAGTTACTTGAGTAACTTTAGACCGAAATAGATGCAGTGTAGGAATTTACTTACTCGATATGAATCAAGCAGACATAATAAATCAGTCAAATATAGTCATTAAAGAAGATCTCTTAAAGATTGCTGCTAAATGATATGCTTCAATTATATTGTTTTCAAACGTTTAACTACTACGAATTTGTTCGATACAACTAATATTTTTTGAAATCTATGATTTCATATATCAAGTTCTTTTTAAGAAAGACTTATTTCGAACTACTTTTTTCATTCTAAAGTTTTATCGATAAGATACCATTGTTACTCAAATAAATTTCAAAATGTAAATCGTTCCAAAATGATTCCACTAGTTTCGATAGAATTATAAATATCACCAACACTTACTAGTTGATATATCAACATAAATTTTGTTCACAAGTGCTTTTGAATCTTGTCGAATTGTAATATTTGATGGTTTGTTAAATTCATCTGTTAGTTGAGTAAGTTGCTTTTTCCATTGATGTAAATCTGTTTCAATAAAATCATTTTCTTGACGACTGTATCTCAATTGACCAGTTAATTTATTCAGCTTAATTTCTACATCAAGAATATGTTTAGCTGTATATTTTAGTAATAGTTTTCTTGCTTCATCTGCTGTTTGTTGAATTTTTTCAATGGAATCACGTTCCCAATCGTTAATTTGTTGTATTAAAATATGATTTTTCGATTCTGACGTATGTTCACTTAGTGCTTGTCGAAAAAGATCGCGAGTAACTTCAACTTCATCCAATTGTTTATTCAACTATTGACGATGATTACCGAAATGATGATAACAAAAGATTTTCGAACAACCTTCACATTTGGATATTCCTTTTGCTTTTCGACATATATCACAAAGATTTCTGTCCGTTGTTGCTATTGCTGTGTGTCGAATAAGCGTTCGATAATGGTGTGTGTTGAGTTAAATCAAAAGAAAAAGAATAAGAATAAGAGAAAAAACAGTATTTTTTTCTCCTTCATGTGTCAATAAACATCACAACAAAATAAACTATTGTGGAAAAAAAGTGAGAAAGCGTAAAAAGATGTCGTTTTATACAATGTTTATGTAATTTAAAAATCCTGTCTTGATAGTATTGATGATCATGTATATCTAGGAATCGTTTATTAGAAGAAATAAGCTGACCATATTTGTTATATGATCTTTTCTTCAATTTTTGACCGTGCAGATAACTTTTCAAATTTATTAACCCAAATACCCCAACAGTGTTTCAGTACGAAAACTTAGAAAGTACTGCATATGATGCCATAGATACTTTAAAAAATGCAGAAGAATTCATTAGTATTTATGCAAAGTTTGAGATCATCATAAATTCTCTTACTATAACGTTATATTTTCTAGAACGAAAGAAGGTTGATCATTTAATTATGTCCTGGTTGATAACATTTTCTTAGAGTAAATAAGTTTTGAAAAATTTGTTCAATAAAGAAAAAGAACAAAAACAACTGTCATCATACGTCAAATCAACGAATCAATTTTGCCGAAACTGCCAAAAACCTTTTTTTTTAATCAAAAATCACAGAAACATCAAACGGATCTTTTAACAATAGAGAACTTGTGCTTGACTGATTTTTAAATTTTTGTTGGGTGTGGTATGGAGAGAGCGTGGGTACGGGTTCTGCCTTCAACAGCACTTTCTTGACAATATTAAAGCATTTCCTCAACAGATGTGCCTTGATTTGATGCTGTATCATTTGAGGTGGAAACTAGTTTAATATAGTCATTGCATATGAATAGAACGTGCCACTAGTTCTAGTTCATATAACAAGAGCAGTTGAGCAATTTTTTTGACCCGATTCTTCTGATCGATTAAACTGTGAGTTGTTACACATCTCAATATTCCAGTAATACAAGCGGGGTTATTCAATAACTGTTTTCCATTTAACATGCATATAAATCGAACTTTTATTTAATGGACAACTTTGCTCTGACGAAACAAACAAAATTATGAAGTCAAACACTCGTAAAACTGTTGTCAATAAAAATGAGAAGTCGAAGATATCCAATTGGATTTCAACAGCATAGCAATCGTTGTTAGAGAGTTAATCGTTTGTTTTTTTGAGTCTAAAGCACGTATGTTTTATACTATTTTGAGAGAGGAGACCATTACTGAGATATTGATTTCATTGAAAATAACCTTTTAATTAAAAAAATACTTCACTATAAGTCAAAGAAATGAAACACATAAAGTTTGCTTAATTGTTCCTTATACATAAAGAGTAGTTAGATAAAGAAAAAGCTTGTCAGCGCAATCCCTATGTGACAGAAATGTTGAACTCATGTATGTTATTGAGTCTCATTATACTAATATAAAATACGTAAAATGAAATTTTTTCTGTAAGCAATAATTGTATTCTAAAGAGAACTGCTCCGTTCTATTTTCCGATTATTTTTCTAATCATTGATTTTACTGACAAATAAGCCTGTTGTATATATCCATAAATATCTATTGCTTTTCTCGATAAGATCACAAATACTGATATCGATTTTTTCCTAAAGTTGTAACTAGATCAATGCATGCTTTTTATATTGATAATATGACGACTATGGCTAATCAATAAATCACTACGCATGATCCTTGATAGCTATCATATCATGTTTGATCTGTGAGAAACTGCAGTATTAGAACATTCAAAAACGTACTCCGACCATCCAAATGTCAAGATAGACTTTGGAATATTGTAAAATCTTCTAGAACAATATACACGTTGTTGTTAATGCTCTCCAGCAGCTTTTTTCCGTTGCTAAGTGACTCTCAAAAAGTAGACGGCTGCCTATTGTCCTAGGTTGCTAGGGAAAAATTCGTATCCAATGGGATCTGATTCTGGTAGCTAATATGTGTAAGGAGAGGACATCTCCACACGTGAACTTTGAAACTTATATTCACTATTTTCTTCGAAAGTATATGTGAATTCCAAAGAACAGTTAAACGAAGAATAAATTAAAGTATTGAATAATTTAAATAGTTCATTGGTGTATTGAACATATTGGAAATATTTTTTGATATAGTATTTTATTTTATTTTTGAACACAGTTTATTGTATGCATTCACTTTTTCAATTATTTTCGAAATTAAATTTTTAATAATTTTGTTAGTATTAGATTAATCATGTACAAAGTTTGCTACGTATCTATCATTGCAAGTAAACAATTGAAGTACTATTTTTTTTATGATATTGATTTCGAATTTATCTTTTTTTGTTGAATGAAAGAAATCGTTTCTAACAGGAATGAACAGCAATATATTATCGTTGCTTTTTTAATAAACTTTCATAAGATTACTCTGAATAATCTAATATTCAATAGAAAAGATGGTAGAAAAGCTTCAAACTTGAGGTTTTCTTCATAAAATTTTTATTTAAAATGCAAATAAAGTGTCTAATCAAAAGTAATAAAACATTCGTTGGTTAAAAAATCTCTAATCATTTCAAATATTCATTGAACTTATTACTGTCTTGTAGTAATTGATGCCAAATATTTTATCCACTCATTGTATTTTCTAGAACTTTTATTCCATATAAAAAAATAATAATTTTTTTCTAGAAAATATTCCTCCTACTTGTTTTTCTAAACAATAAAATGACCAAAATATGATATACTGAATGGCTTTGTTGAATTCATTGTAATTTCTTATGAATGATGATCGAGTTCGAACTAGGAGCTTAGTCCTTTCTTTTATATAAGTATGGTCTTCAAAACAAATTTCAAATAAATGAAAAAGTATTTTATGCAGAAAAAAACTTATCATTACAATCTCATTCGGGAACAAAATATGGAAGTCGTATATCTTCAACTAAATTATAATAATACAAAATTCGTACAATAAACAATTTTTAATAAATAATGTTTGCCTTCCGATCTTCATGTCTGCTTATTTTGATTTCTTGGTGGGCACAAGATCCGTAAGACTTTTCTAATGAGTGTGAATACGAACAAGTTTACTTTTTGTGTTTGCCGCATTTGTGATATTTCTCAACACAAAGGACCTCACTTAAAATTAGTATTCTTCATCAAAATGCAAAGCTTCATTTCTAAACAGATGACCAGAATAGAATTACTAAAGATTAACAATTCAGGGTGTGGGTGTGGGTGTGGATGAAGATAATATCAATATCCATACCCTGAAGATAGTTCCGCATCTGATGATGTCGAATTTAATAAATCCCGAAAAACATTTTCGGTGGTCCGGAGGCCCTTATATGCCCCAAATGATCCGTGATAAGTGAAAGTCGTTTTCCAACAAGAAAAAATACTTTGTTTCGCTCATAATTTAATGTTAATTCTGAATATGTAATTCTTTTTGAAAAATATTTTGTGCAAAAAAAAGTGGGCTTATTGCTACATGATTTTTGCCATGCGACATTTAAAAAACACACAAGTAACCGTTTGCTTTATCGCCAAACTCTAATGCGCGAAGTTCTTACAATTCTGCAAGATATTTATGATACGAGTGTTGTGTTGGCCTATGCTGTCTATTTGCTTTTTACTAGTCCGACAAAGGATAATGTAAAGGGATTCATGCACGTTTTACTATTCATTCTGTGGATATTTATCTTGAGCACACAGTTCTTATCGTCTGTTTGCTGTAAACACTCTTTTCAGTTGCTGCTCCTGCAGATAACTATCTATCATTAGACCATGTGAGTATTTAAACTGTATTAATACCTTGAACTGAGTGAAATAATAACTCAAAGCAGTAGTCGCGTTTCTTTTCCCTATGGTGGAAATACTCAATTTTCGAATTCTCATTTTAAATTTCTTTGCACATATTTTGAAAGAGAGCAGTCTGGACTATAAGATGAAATGAACAAAAAAACAACCGAAAACGCATTTTCTCCTAATTTTTTATGGTGGCTAATATACTCCAGTCTACCAGTTGTTTATTAGTAGCAAACGTTTTGTTTCAAATATGAAGGCTCATCAGAAATGCATTAAATAAAAAATGAACCTGAAAAGCATGGTACTTGTCATAAACACTTTGCACTATTAAAATATTAAAATGAATGAATTTCAAAACGAAAAATCATGTAGACTTTCAATTAGGAAATATTTAACTATCTGTTAGTGAAAAAGTGGCCGATTCAGGCTAACACATCGGAAGGTATTTTTTTTTTTTTTGACAAATGAATTTCCATACAGATATTATCAGTATAATGAGCAAGAATTTTTAACATTCGCTTAATAGCTCAAAATTGTTTGTCAGAGTAATCTGTTCTAGGCACACATGACACATATTAGTGGAATCGTTCTCATACCACAGCAGATTTTTCCACTATCATGATATGCTCGGCAGCCAAGCGTTTTTATTAAAAATCAATGACATATACGGACTCAGCGCGTGCAACTCCATCGAATGGTGTGTAACACAAAACTTTTCTAAGCAAAAAAAAACAGGTTTTTGCGAAAAAACTTGACCAAGAACTCCTCTCCTCAGGAATTTTGGATAGAAAAATTTTTTTGCTTGAAGATAATTCTCTAGTTGATAGAGAATCATTTTTAATCAAAAAAAAGAATATTTGAGGAAAAAAGTCATATGCCTGTCTGACAATCAAAATATGCGCATTATAAGAGGGAGAGGACAATCGTATAGAAATTTGCAATTTCTTTAACCTAAAATCATACTTTAAAAGACAGGAAAGTACATGAGTACAGAAAGTAGCAAATGAGAAGGACAAAAAGAATTACTCGACGAGTAGACTACTGCTCGCAGTTTTTACTTATAACTCATCAGCTGATGTTGTTCTTCTCTCACGCCTGGCACATATATTTATGCCACCGGCACTGAGTATTCCTCTTTTTTGTCCTTTATTCCATGCAACGCTTTATAAAATTAAAAAGAGTATCAAATGTTGACAACCGATTAATCTAGTGCAGAGGTCCAAATAATATTCAGAAGAATTTTTTATCATTGTGTGCTTGAATTGTTAATTCATTGATTATAATTCGAGCGTGAGAAACCACAGCAGCACTTTTTATTATTAATGGTCACTAAGACCACGCACATGAATGAAAACCAAATAAATTTTAGCTAGCTGCGATATTTCAACATCAAAATACATATCTTTGCTTGTTTTCTCTTCGAAGTAAAATCAACACAATTACGCATCATAAGTACCATGCTGCCAATG